AACTTTTTATCTGGGCTGGCCCCATACCATGAGCTAATCAATCTCTGCTTCCTAAGTAACCACGATTACAAACACAAGCCTGGCTAGATCTTTTCCAGATTAGAAAATGGATGGGTTAAAGCTACAAAATGATAGTGGACCTTGCAGAAGGTATCAGATGTGTCTGTCTGTCAAAGGGTAAAATATTAGCCTTATGTGTTTTGCTTATGTGTGTCCCAGTCCTACAGAAAAAGATTAAATATGGCAGTGCCAGAAAGAACTCTCCCTGCTGCCCTCTGACAAAGGGACAAGGGGCTCTAGCACACTGTCCTCTTCTTGGGGCAGTGAAGGGAGAGAACAGACTCTGCTTAAGAGTAGGAAGGCCGTGCCTGGCAGGCGCTGTGGTTCTCATCAGCTTCTCCCGGCCCCTAGATCGCAGCCTTGAGACCCCACATCATCCAGCAATGCTCAGTGGACAATACTCTCAGGTAGAGAAGGGTAAACTGCAGTGTTAAAGGGACAGGAGCAAGTGTGATGACCTCCCCTCAGATTATGCAAAAGCAGAAGATGGTCAGGGCACAAAACACAGCAGCTTGCTAGAAAAAGGCTATTCCACAGACTTGTTTTTCTGTCACATGAACATAGATTTTCCCAGAGGAACGACGTGGAGCAGAGCTGGATTATCAGAAGGCTTTTGGAAATGAGTGGAAAAAAGCTGGTGGACACCAGGATCCAGACAGAAACAGACCAAATGAAGAATTTCTTGCTGCCCACCCTAGATTCCAGCTTCTCTGTGACAGTAAGTCCATGACAGCCTTCCAGGTGGGCCATTTGCTTCTCTCCCTGTACTCACCTAAATGGATTGGGGCTGCTTCCCACTGAGTGCAGGCAGCTAGCAAGTGTCTCTCTCCAGGAGACTGCTGAGGGATCTGAAAGGAGTTTTGTCCCTGAGTAGGGCAAGCAGTTAAGCCTTTGCTCACCTCAGCTATGGGGTTCTACTTGGGGTTGGGGAGCACACACTGTGTCTCCAGCGCTCCCTGCATCATGCTGATGCACCCAGGTGAGGGTCTAGTGATGATGTGGGTCTGCCTTGTGCTCCTCCTCTTCCCAGTTTGGCACGTGCTGTGCATGCTGCATCCTCCTCATCTGCCACCTGGTTCTTTGGGCTTCGCAGCTAAGAATTCTTGTGTCCGTGTCCTGATAATTCTATCCACTGGCCCCATTTTAGCCCTATGCAGCTTTCCCTTTTATATATTTCCTAATGGAAGCTTGCTGTATAAATGCTTCTCTGAGGAAGGAAAGTCACCTGTAGGAATTGCATTCATATTTACCCCATCAGTTGTCCTAGTTTCCTGGCCACTCTAGGTGAATTTTCCATCGCAGGGGTGGGAAGGAAAGTTCTAAGGTAGCAGCTTGGATGTCAGCATCTTGCTGCTGAGTGCCAGGGACAGAAGCAGTACTGGGGCTCAGTGTCCCCATTCCCCACACCTCTCACTATAACACTCTTGGTTCCTGTTAACCCACAGCAGCCTTGACCCACATATGACATGAAGAATTGCAGACAAGAAAACTTGATTATGTTTTAAATCATATCTCAATGAAGCAATGTAGGGAACAAATTCTTTGTTCCAAGTATCCACACTATGTGCCATCTGCCATGAGGCTTCAGGTGCTGCCCCCTCACAGCTACAGTATCCCAGGGCCTTTGCACATGCCCACAAGGGACTAAGGTGATGTCTATTAGGATGTATTGTGAAAAGTGCTCTATTGACTTCTTGTTCGTTTATAAATTAAATGGTCATAGGTATGTCCATGTAGAAAACAAGCCTCTATTGGTCTGGTTCTCGAGATCTTGATGGGTCCCACAGATGAGAACACTGTACAGCATTTCCAGAAAAGGCAGTGGACCAAGTGACCAGTCTTGGCACTCAATCATGAGGCTAAACTGGGCAGAGGTGTCCAAAGGGGAGGGATCTGTTTCCTACACCAAGCCTCTGAGTAAACATTTGAGGTGTCCGCAAGCGCCTTGCTTTGTGGGGCTGGCTGAAGTTGGGATACACAGTGAGGTGGGTTGAAGGAGATGGGGTGTCTTCCCTCGGCCCCTGAGTAGAACACTGCTGATGGCAGCATGGCAGAGCAACTGTGGCCAGGCTTGTGCTAGCAAAGGAGAAGGTGCTGTGGACGCTGATCTATGTTTATTGTTTCCCTTTGGGGACACTGGTCTTTATTCACCCCTTCTTATCTTTTCTGCAATAGAATATGGCACACCTGAAGATGGGGAACTCAAAGTACAACAGCCGTTCATGCTCAAAAATCAGCTACTCAGTAAGAACCCAGATTCTCATACAGCGTGTGTATTTGCACTTATATGCTAATGCACTAGCAGCAGCTTGGTCGATCGTATGCATCTCAAGGAGAGTGGCAAAGATATGAACTTTTCAGTATCTATCAAATTCTTACACTTAGTATTTTTGTAACTCCCAGGCTAAACTCGTTTAATGGTGTCACCAATGTTGGAGGTGCATGAGTTGTGAACTGCACTCATTTGCAAATTTGTGATTTTTCTTAAACCCACTTACAATTGAGGGCATACTGAAAGAGAAAGGGAAAACAGTACAATGTTGGCCTGGTTGTTTTGTAAGTCATGTAACTTGAACTCAGGGATTGGGCTCTGTCACTGAGCTTTTATGTTCAATGCTAGTGCTCTACCACTTTGAATCCCAGTTCTGTTTTGTTTGGGGGGTACTTGATTGGAAATAAGAGTCTCACATGCTGGCTTCAAACCGCTATCCTCAGATCTCAGCCTACTGAGTACCTAGGATATTATGGGCATGAGCCACCAGCGCCAGGCAGACTAGTTTTTGTTATAAATAAACTAAGTTGGGGGGGAATTGGTGTTTTGTTGGTTGTGGGGTTTGAACTCAGAGCCTGGGCACTGTCTCTGAGCTCTTCAGTTCAAGGTGTGCTCTACCACTTCAGCCATAGTACCACTTCAGCTGTTTCTGTTTATGTGGTGCTGAGGAGTTGAATCCAGGACCTCATGCATGTAAGGCAAGCACTCTACCACTGGGCCACCTTCCCGGCCCCTTGTCTTGCTTTTTCTCTTAAAGCACTGAAGATAAAATATCCAAGTCAGCTTGACCAGCAAGTTCTGGAAAAGCGACTGCCAGGTAAGAATGAACCTGTCTTTACTTTCCTCATAGCTGTGGGTCACAGGCCTAAGGAGTCAGCTGGAGCTAAAGCATTCATTTGTATCTAAAATCGTGGCTCTTAGAACCCACTGCTGTCACTAACCCATCATCAGTCATGCCACTTCCCAGCCCTCGAGAACTCAGCTCTCCTGGGTCTTGGTCACATGCACTAGGAAAATTTCTATTAAATTAGAAGTCCCCACCCCAACATGTGATTATAGAGGGCCGTCTAAGCCTCCTGCAGGTTGCCACCCTGGGGTTTAGGCAGAGATTGTAGTCCTCCCTTTGAGGTCTTTCTGTGTATTTTTAAGAGACAAACCTGAGTGCACTAAACGGCCAGCCAGTGGGCAGGATGACTTCCTATATTCAGTTCCTACTGTCCTTAAACATCCTACACAGATGTTTTTAATGGACACACTGAAATGGTCTCCCTTGGTGGACTGGGTATGGTGATTCATGCTTGTAATCTTTGCTATTCAGGAGGCTAGAAATCGAGATGATCATGATTCAAGGTCAGCCTAGACACAAAGTTCCCAAGACCCCATTTCAACCAATCAAGTTAGGCTTAGTGGCAAGTGTCTGTCATCTATATGGGGAAACATAGATAGGAGGATCACAGTCCATGCTGGCCTAGGCAAAGAGACATGTACTTCCTCCCAGGAGCATAGAACACAGGCTTGGAAACATGTAATTTTGGCTTTAGGCACACAGGTAGATACAAAGACAAATAATGTTAAGATGTCATGTTACTATACAATTTAGATGCTGGCACATATGAGGAATATGCCATTTCCCACAGGTGTACAAGGCTTAGCCCCTCACTTGCCACCCTCCAAATAAATGAGAGCAAAGTAGAATGAAATTCCTACAAAGTTTCTATATATCCAGTATACAAACAAGGGCAGTTTTTATTCTAAAATAAACATTTATTTATCACAAGTTCCATAAAAGCACAGCTTTTTACAAAAATGATTTGGTAGAAAAATATTTTACTCCATTGCGGTATTTGTGGGTACACCACACTATCACTGTACCTCCAGCTAAAGCTTCAACAAAACTAACTTTTATGAAAATATCCACTATCTACTGCAACCTATCTTTGGAAAGACATTCTAGCGTGTTCTGAACAGGCCAAAGCATTTGCTTGTTGGTTTCACTCCCAGGGCTGGTGGTTGTGTTGTATGTGTGTGTCACAGGGCTGCTTACAGCAGTGGCAGGAAGGTGGGGATGAGGGGGGCCCTGCCATCTCTCTTAGTCCACGTTGTTATCTTAGAGGGGAAGCTGAGGCTGGAGACTGTCCTTGGGCTCTGAGCCCCCTCCGACTTGCTGTATATGCTGCTGAGCAAGTAGGGTACCACTCCTTTTCTGTGCCACTGGGGTCAGACATTGGCTCCATTTCAAATGACACACAAGGAGGGGAAGACTCAGCCTTCCCTACTCCCTTCCCTCACTGCACTGCCCTGTCCTCTCATGAGCTGGTTGACAGCTGTTTTATTTTCCCTTGACAGACTCCATGACAGTCCAAAAGGTGAAGGGACTACTCTCACGGCTTCTCAAGGTTCCTGTGTCAGATATTCTGTTGTCATATGAGAGTCTCAAAGTAAGTTCCCAGCGACAAGTCCCCTCAACAGTGTGGCATGTAGAACATGCCTTGTCAGCACTTATTCACACTCACTTGGTTCTAATTTTAGATGCCGGGCAGAGAAATTGAACTACAAAATGACCTAAAGCCATTACAGTTTTATTCTTTGGAAAATGGAGATTGTCTATTAGTGCGATGGTAACGACCAATGGTGGATAGACTGATGGGCCCACTGAAAAACCATATCTAGGCTTGTATATATAATAGCAATAATAAAGGCTTTGACTAATGACTTTCTGATCTTATATAGCTCATTATGGGAAGACTTAAATACTAAAAAAGCTTGCTAGTTGAATGAGTATAGACATCATAGGGTCTGTCATAAGACTAGTTTCAATGGAATTCCTATTGGGACTGCTATCTTCTCAGTTACTAATAAATCAAGCTGGTTAGTGGGGAGACAGGCTCTCCTCTGGGTGTATGCCTTCTATTTTTAGAGTACTTAAAAAGTTAGTCATACTTTGCCTCATAGTTATACCTCAACCTGAGCATATCCTCTGCAGAAGATCACCTGACTAATCATTTTAAACCATTATTAGGCAATGATAGGAGGGAAGCAAAAGGATTGACTCCAAGTGTCTGCCATTTAGAAATCTCCACGGCACTAAACCCTGAGAGATGTTTTATTCACATTCACAAAAAATTCAGTGTTCAATACAAGTGCTAATCATATGGTCTTCAGGATCTGGATTAAATGGCAAAAGGGAACTTGATTTAATCATATAAAAATGGACATATTTAAAAAAAGGTTGCCCACTCAGTCAGATCCTCCAAGTCTGACATCATTTCCAGGAACCTCAAACTTTGGTTTAAGTGACCACTGCTCACACAGCATTTTTTTTATTTTTTAAGTCTGCACTTGCTCTCATTAAGCTATTTCTACAACCCAAATTGAGATTCAAACTGAGTTACTAATAAAAATTTCTGAACTAGGCCATGTTTTAACAAAGTAATCATGATGGATTTCTAATTAGAGACAGTGCATCAGGACTTAGAAATATTTCTCCTTTTATAAAAAATTTGGTATCTTTTAAATCTTTCAATATATAAGTAAAAACTTTTTTTATGCTACAGTATGAATTGACTTTAAGGAGATTTGTGCAAACATTAAGACACATCACATTGCTTACAGGTTAAAGTGCCGGCCAAGAACCATCTAGAAAGACTATTATTTTCCTATTGCCAAACATTGGGCTTTTCCTTCTGACTTCAAGGTGGCAATCCTGGTGCCCTGTCCTTAGCCGCTGCCCGCTGACTCGCTGCACCGGGCATCACACTGGCAGGGGTCACCGCAGCGCTCCTTCAGCTCCCACAGTGCCCTCAGCTCCCGTGGCGAGTACTGAGGGGAGGACAGCATGCCCGTCTCACATGTCTTCTCACACAGCCACAGGCTGTCCTAGGGGGAGACAGCGCGTGCCTGGACAATGTGTGAGCCACAGCCACAGGCTGTCGGGGGAGACACAATGCGCCTGGACACCTGCAGTGCTCCACCCATGACATGGAGCCAACAGCGCACACTACAGCAGCTCACAGAGCCCAGCAATGCCCATTACTACTTTGTCAACTAAAAAAACACTGAAGTATTCAAGGAAAAAAAGAGACTAGCAAATGAAATTTTATGAGAACATGGGAATCACATTAGTGAGCTTTCTATTTACTGTAGAAGTTGCTGGGATCCAGAAGGCAATCATATGAAACAAGTGCTTTACCTCTCCTACTGGGTTCATTTCCTTCTCTGGCTCAACAGTAAATGTGCCATGGCGTAGGCCTCACCCTACCAGGCACCAGCAGCACAAGCCAGCCCATGCTGTCTTAAAGCTGCCAGAATTTCTGACCAACCACAAAAACATTGTGGTTGGGGAACTCTCACTCATAGCACTCCCTTTGGTTTACACTTAGAAAATTATCATGTGAGAGATAAATAAGGTGGACTCTAATACCAAAGCCAGGGTCCCTGAGGCAGAACCTGCCCTCTGCTCAGGGAAGTATTCGTCCTATAGAAGCCTCCCTCCCACTAAGGTGGCAGCACCTGACGCTTTCTTACCTGGTGTCGTTTAGGTCCTATGGCTGCCATCCAAATGCCCATGCTTACATCTTCACCCTGTACATGAAACCCCACAGTGTAAATGCAGAATCTTAACATCATTTACAAACATAAAGCTAGACCCACTCCCAAATGAACTATCTTTCTACTTGTGCTGTTATTCCAACATGAAGGGCCAAACTGGTCACTACTATATAAGTAAATGCTAGTGACTGCTGACAAAGATCCACACAGCCCCTCCTCTCACCAGCTCGCAGTTCAAAATCTACGGAACTAGGAAGAGCTGCTCTCTACCACAATCGGCAACAAAGCATTTCTCCATGGAATACACTTGTAAAAGACAGGCTGAAGACAGCAAACAGTTTCTGATCTGGCTTAGGAATAGATGGGCTGACATGGGTGTGCCTGTACCTTTAAGGGGTGACTTTGAAGAAGCCCTCTTACCTGGTAAGTCTTCAGCCTCCCTGAGTTGCCAGCCAGCCAGTCCACGATGTCCCTGGAGATCACATACCCTGAGCCGCATGCAAAGGCGGGGTAGGCAGGGCTGGGGTACTCCAGCTCCTGCCACTTCCCTGTCCGGTCCACTGCCCAGTTCAACCTGAAACTGAGATTTCAACAGTTGTTTGTGTTGGTTGTGCATCCTGCCAGATTAGACTTCACTCCTGTTACCACTACAAAGGAATACATTTGCAGGGCAGGGGAGAAGAGAAAAAAAGATTAAAAAGAAAGAATTTACCTGGTAGCATTTTATATAAAGGTTAAGTATGGTAAGCCATCTTAGTTTCAAAACAAAGTAACGAAGCCCACTCTATTTTACTGTATACTGAAACCAAGACCCACAAAGTCACTAATCCTGCCTAGGGCTCTCGAAGCAGCCCAGCACTCAGACCTCAGGGCAGCTTCCAGGTACAATTTACTTTTAGGGGGTGAGGATCAAAGTTACAGCTTTCTGTTTCCTTCATTCCATCAGCCTGAGGCTTTTCATTGAAAACATTCCCTGAGAAAGAGAGGAGAGCAGGCCAGGACTCTCACAGGAAATCTCATACCTAAACCACATTTGCTTAAAAAAGAAGACTGTGTTTCACTTACTTTCCCCACCAAACATTTGGCCCCTCCAGATTCTTCTGGGCAATTCTGTTAAACACGGCTTCTAAGTCTATGTAACAGTCGTCATCCGTCTTCAGCAGCAAAGCAAAGCTGGTAGTCTCCACGGTCCTGTTGGCAGGAGGATGCACAGGTCAGTGCAGCCCTGCTGGTGACCAGCAGCGCATCATCACACTAATTCAGAGCCTCACAGGGCTACCCGTACGTGTGGCAGTGTCTCCTAACACCAAGAACAGGAGAGCTCGTTGACGGCCGGGGAGAGCCGTTGACAAAGTAACATAAGACTGGCTAGCTTTAAAGGATAATGGAAAGAGTACTGAAGAGTAACACATCAAGGAGTGAATCACGCTTCACAAGCAGGCTGCCAAATTTATTTGACCTCAGAACCTTGGCTCTTGACAGCCATGCTCCTCCCCACCCCATCACAGCAGATGTCATCCCTTTCACTTCCACCTTCAGTGCTGGCACACAGGCGCATTCATACCATCTTGAGAATGATAGACTCCTAGCTGCTTGCTGGTGGCTCACACCTGTAATCCTAGCTACTCAGGAGGCTGAGATCTGAGGATCAAAGTTCAAAGCCAGCCTGGGCAGGAAAGTCCAAGAGACTCATCTCCAATAAACCACCAGAAAACCAGAAGTGGCACTGTGGTTCAAGTGGTAGAGCACTCACCTTGAGCTGAAGAGTTCAGGGGACAGTGCCCAGGCCCAGAGTTCAAGCCCCACGACCAACAAAAAAAAAAAAAAAAAACCCAGCTAGTTGGGGTGGAGACCAGGAGATCTATACACCAGTCCAGGCAAAAAACATCTACAAGACTCTCTCCCCTAAGGAAAGCTATACACGCTGGTGTGTGTCTGGGTAGGAAGTAAGCCCCCACCCTACAAGCAACCACTGAAAAACATGGCATGGCTCCACAGTATGGTGCCCGTTTACCACGTGTGATGTAAGAAAGACTGCAAACCCCAGAACTGCCTCTGAGCCAAATTTTTTTTTTTTTTTTTAATTAAGAGTTATAGCGCAGCACAGTGGCTCAAGCCTACTACTTGGAAGGTGGAAGTTGAGAAGAACCACAGTTTATGGTCAGAAGCAAAAAAAAAGTTCACTGGACTTCATCCTGCCTAGGGTGGGTGGGGCCTGCCTGTCATCTCAAGCTACAGACGAAGCACAAACAAGAGAACTGCAGTCTAGGTTGGCCCAGACATAAACTAAGCCCCTATTTAGGAATAGCCAGCCGCCCAAGGGGCTGACAAAGTAGCTAAGTGGTGGGCTGCCCAGCCAATGTGAGGCCCTGAGTTCAAACTCCAGTATTAGGAGTGAGGGGAGGGACAGCTAGGAACATCTAGCCATGTTATCCATGTGTATGTTTCACAGATCAAGGAATGGCAAGAGTCCCATTAAACCTATTCCTAATAACTTAAGGCATATACAGGAGCTAAGGTATGGCAGTCTAAGTTCTGACTTTTGAAAGGTCAAGGGTTTGATGATGATGAACTGTTTCACAACCCACCATCGGTAGAAGTTCAGTAGTTTTGCAGGAACGTTTCGGTAAGTGTCAACAACATCCACAAAGACGATGTCGTCATAGATGCTACTCTCCTCCTGCAGTAAGGCATCTTCCTCCCGGAGGCGCCTCATGTGCTCCTTCAGTCTCTGAGGCCGAGAGTGAAGGCTGTGTAACAGCGCATCACCTTCTGAAAGGAAAGTGTAAGCTGGAGAAGAACACCCTTTTGAGGGGGCGGGGGGGAGGGGGGTGTACTCTGGGGGAGTGCCAGATGAGAGAGCAGGGAAGGTAAGGGGAAACAAAGAAGGCAACAATGCTTGGTAAGAAAGATACTCATTACCTTGTTCATGTAATTGTAACCCCTCTGTACGGTATTTTCACAATAAAAAAAAGTATTAATAAAAAACACCCTTGCCAACCTGAGACCCACTTAAAACCTAACCAAAACATAACCAAAACTTCTTTTCTCACAGAACACTAATAGCTGTACACTTGTTAAGAATGAGGAAGGGAAGCATCATGCCTCAGCAGATTATTATACTTGTAGATAACAAGCTTAGTGGAATTATTCTACAAAGGCACAAGAATATTCATTGCAGCTTTCTTTATAATAGTGAAAAAAGTTGGAACCACTGATAGAAAAGTACCCAATTTAGTATTTACAAAATAGAATACAGCAGTTAAAAAAAATTAATCTAAGCCGGGCGCTGGTGGCTCACACCTGTAATCCTAGCAACTCAGGAGGCTGAGATCTGAGGATCACGGTTCAAAGCCAGCTCAGGCAGGAAAGTCCAAGAGACTCTTATCTCCAATAAACCACCAGAAAACCAGAAATGGTGCTGTAGCTCAAAGTGGTAGAGTGCTAGCCTTGAGCTGAAGGGCTCAGGAATAGTGCCAGAGTTCAATAGCCCAGAGTTCAAACCCCATAACTGACAAAAAAAAATTAATCTGGTTGGACTGTGATGGCTCATACAGATAACCTTAGGTACTCAGGAGGCCAAGATTTTAGGATTGAAAAAGTCAGCCCAGGCAGAAAAGTATGTGAGACTCTTCAGTTAATTAGCAGAAACCTGGAAGTGGAGGATCATGTGGTAAAGTGCCAACTGTGATTGAAAAAGCTGAGCTAAGATAAAGAGCACAAGGCCCTGAGTTCAAGCCCCAACAGGCTTTTTGTTTGTTTCTAGAGACAAAGGTCTTATATAATTCAGGTTGGCCTACAATTTATGTTCCTCCTGCATCAGTGTCCCAAGGGCTAGGATTACGGGCATATACTAATGCCCAGCCAAGCTATTTTTCTAGTTTTCAATTATTTATTATTATTTTGGCAGTACTAGGTTTTAACTCAGGGCTAGGTAAGTGCTCTAACAGTGGAGCCACATCTCCAGCCCCAATTTTTTTTTTTTGTTGGTCCTGGGACTTAAACTCTGGATCTGGGCACTGTCCCTGAACTCTTGCTAGAGGCTAGCACTCTACCACTTTGAGCACATCACCACGTCCAGTTTTCTGGTAGTTAGTTGGAGAAAAAGAGTCTCACAGACTTTCCTGCCCCCACTGGCTTTGAACCAGGATCCTTACAGCTCAGCCTCCTGAGTAGCTAGGATTACAGACATGAGCAACCAGCACACAGCCGAACTATTTTTTAGATGACAAAACAATCTTTTATGTGAAAGGATAAAGTCAGAGTAGGTATATGAGGTTCAGAATGCTTTTTGAGTAGCTAACTTACCCTGAATGGTATAGATAAAGCCACCTGCGACTCCCTCCACACCTTCTAGGAATTCGGGAGGCAGAGCACCCTCCGCAGCCTGAGAGGAAGTACAGTGTGTGTTAAACTTGGAAAGCTGACTCTAGAGAAGATTGCAGTAAGTACACCCAGGTCAGGAGCCCAACACAGCCCTTCAGCAGACCTGTTACACACATCAGCTCACTCAAACCTGCTGGGGTGCAGGACCCAGCTTAGTGAGGCTTATATTCTGTGCTTAGCACCAAAGTAGTACACACCAGTTCACCTCACATTCCAATCCATCATCTTCAGAAAATAGTAAACTCAAGGTAATTATTACTAGCCTGGTTGGGTTTTTTGTTTTTGTTTTTGTCAGTTGTGGGACTTGAACTCACCCTGGGCACTGTCCCTGAGCCTCTTTGTGCTAAAGGCTAGTGCTCTACCACTTGAGCCACAGCATCACTTCCAGTTCTTTTGAGTGGTTAATTGGAGGTAAGGGTGTCATGGGAACTTTTCTGGCTGGGCTGCCTTCGAAGGTTGGCCCTCAGATCTCAGCTTCCTGAGGAGGTACGTTTACAGGCGTGAGCCACCAGCGCCTGCCACCACCTTGCATTTTTAAGAGATTGAAAATTGTCCATTCAAACAGATGTTGACACATTTAAAAGTTAAGTGGCAGGACTAGGAATGTAGCTTAGTGGTAGAATGCTTGCCTAGCATGCATGAGGCCCTGGGTTCAAACCCTTGGTACCACATAAATAAAAATAAAATTAATCATTTTTTAAAGTAACATATCAGTTAAAAAAAATTAGGTGGCCATGCATAGTAAAGGTAAAGTAAATCAATGGTCTGCCCTAAATACTTCCAGTGGACCCTACTGATCACCCATGGGCCTGAATGCAGGGCCTGTCACTGTCCCTGAGCTTTCAGGCTCCAGGCCAGCACTCTACCACTTGAGCCAGAGCTCCTCTTTAGGCTTTTTTGGTGTTTAATTGGAGATTTTGCTGCAGGTGGGCTTTGAACCTCAATCCTCAGATCTCAGCCGCCTGAGTAGCTAGGATTACAGACGTGAGCCATAAGTATTTTTATCAACTGACACTTTGCTCTCGAGGTAAGAAGCAAGTACTCTGAGTGCTGCTGAGCTAGTGCTTGTAAAGAATGCCAACCTGACCCTACTGCTGGTATTACAGGATAGTGGACAATAGGCGAGGCTCCACCTCACCTCGTGGCATCTCGTTAAAAGCATGGTCTGGTGATGCCTGGGGCAGGGTCACAGAGTTCTCAACACTTGCGTGTTTCAGAGACAGAGAAGGCACATGTAATGAAAAGAGGGTGGCTCACCGTGAGGACTCGAAGGACGCCCCCTCCATCATTCACCATCACTTGGTGAAGGTTTCTTGATACAAGGCCATGGAGGTCTTGGCTCTCCCACACAATTGTACCTTCAAAACTCTTTTGAGGAAAGAAGAATAGTGGTTAGTTTCTTTTCTCTTGCCATTTAGGCTTTAGTAAGCATTTAGGTTAGGATTTAAGAGAAAATAGGTTTCACACACCACAGCTCGACGTCACTGCTACTATTCTTTGTGTGTGCATCCTTGCACACACAGAAGCGAACCGCGAGAGTCCAGGGCAATCCATGGTATCTAGCCCAGGACAAGGTAGTCTCAGGACCCCTTTCTGGTGTAAACAGTGTAAATTAACTTCTTTTGTTCACCTTTCACTGTGCCTCGATGAATTGTCTCGCTCTCCAAAAGTCGTAAGTAGATCTTCCCTACGACCCAGCCATACCACTCGTGGACTTCTACCCTGAACCTCACAAGCCAGGAGACCAGAAAGACACCTGCACACCCATGTTCACTGCTGCACTATTCACAACAGCCAAGTCATGGAAACAGCTGTCCTACAATACATGAGTGGACCAAGAAAACGTGGTACCTACACACAATGGAATTTTACTCCTCCATTAGAAAGAATACTATGCCATTTGCAGGGAAAATGAATGGACCTAGAAAAATTATATTAAGTGAGGTAAGCCAAGCTCAGAGAGACAAATGACACATTTTCTCTTATATGCAGAAGCTAGATCTAAAATATACTGGGACATGATAAATCATATAGGACTCTAGGCATTCACTTGCAGTGAGACCAAAGGAGGATACTTTTAGGAGAGGAACACAAAGGTGCAGCATCTATGTGCTTCTGACCACATAAAATATTTATCAAGATGAACTCAGAAAAAAAATGCATATCTATTAAGCACAAGGTCCTGAGTTCAGAGCCCTGCACAGCAGTAAATCCATAAGGAAAAATCAACGGTGTGGTAGAGGTTGGAAAATGAGCTATCACACACCAAACAGTGCAAGATATTAATTCTCCTGTCCAAAACATTTTCATTTTGCCAGTCCTGGGACGTACACTCAGGACCTGGGGTCTGTCCCTGAGCTCTTTTGCTCACTCTACCACTTGAGCTACAGTACTACTTCTGGTTTTGTGGTTATTAGAGATAAGAGTCTTATAGACTTTCCTGTCCAGGTTGGCTTTGAACCATGATCCTTAGGTCTCAATCTCCTGAGTAGCTAGGATTACAGGCTGAGCCAGCTGTCCCAAATTTCAACTTGCTCATCCAAATGAACAGAGTAGCTAAAATAAGTACATTTGTACCTGTAAATATTAATAACTTCTTGTGGATTCACAAAATGATTACATCTGAAGAAAATTTTCATAAAGTAAGTATATGTCCATAACCCCACCAATGTCTAGTGATTCTGCTGAAAGTCATCTTTTTACTGAGATCAGTTTCAGGTTTCATCTGTACTATTAGGGGACTATGAAAACTAAATACTGTAAGAGAAACCTGACCATCTTCAGTTAGACCTGGGACTTGCACCCACGATAGTCAAGCCATGCACACTATCCGCAACACCAGCAAGGAAGGAACACTCCACTTCACTAACCTCACTTTTATTCTGAAAACCTTCAAACCCACACAACAGTTGAAGTCAAACTCCAAAGCACCTTGCCAATGACCCACATCCTCCACATACACGTTCCCATTCTCCAGAGGTTTGAAAAGAGCAGACATCATGCAACTTCTATGAACAAGGACATTTTAAGGCAAACTAGTGCTTTTTTTTTTTTTTTGTAAATTGGGCTTGAACTCAGGACCTGGACCCTGTTCCTTCCTGAGCTCTTTTTGCTCAAGGCTGGTGCTCTACCATTTCGAGCCAACATGCCACTTCCAGTTTTCTGGTAATTAATTGTCACACACTTTCCTGCCCAGGCTAGCTTTGAACTGTAATTACAGACATGAGCCCCTAGCACCAGGTGATAATAATTTCTTATGGACCAATAAAATTTTTCTTCTAAGTCTGATCAAAACATGACGTGAGGGCTCAAGGAGTAGCTTGGGTAACAGAAAGCCAACAGAGAAAGCAAGACTGGTAAGTGCACAAGGTCCTGAGAACCAGCAACAAATAAACTTGTGGTTAACTGTAACATTAAGTTTATTTTCTTAGCCTCACTCCACATGACTCCTTCCTCATAAGGCTTCTCGCTCTCAGGCAGCTAATCATTCCTGCCCTGTGTCCTTCAGGATAGTGGGTATCATTCCTGTCTTCTGCCCACCCCATGCCTACAGGGCCTCACAGCTGTAAGACACTGCTCAACACACTCACTTGTCTACACGACCCTGGAGAGGAAACACTGCTCTCACTGAACAAGACCCCAAAGCTAGCCAGGCATGGCAGCACTTACTGAATGCTTGCCATGTGGAGCAAGTTCTAAACATGTCCACTTGTGTGAAATAGCTCAGCCCTCAACAGCAGCCAGTGCAGTCCTCCATGCCACAGAGGACACACACAGCAAAGGAAGCGCCTCGAGCAAGGTCACAGTTCTTTGTGGAAGAGAAGAACTCAAACTCACCATTGCACACCCTCTTCTCCCCACCTTAACTCTGCAAGTCAGCCAGCCCAAGGCTTTTGTGAAAACAAACCCATAATGCCTTCCAAGAAGGAATCACACACCTCAGAAATATGTTTTATCTTTGGTACAACAATTCATCCAAAGAGCATAACCAGTTACCACACAAAACAAGAATATAGTGATATTCATTAGAATTTCTTGTAACACTGATGGTTAGAAATACACCGACATCAAACAATAGTTAGGCAAATCACAGTATTTCCATGCAATAATTCTAAACAGCCATTACAAAATAATGAAGTATATTTTACAGAAGTGTTCATGCTATGTTAAAGAGAGATTGTATAAGAGGATGAATGGTGGAATCTTAGCAACAGTATATACATAAAAGCCAAAATGTAAAATGTGATCATCTCTGAGTTACGGTATTTTAGTAATACTGTTTTCCTTTAGCTTCTTCCAGTGTGTTCTATTTGCTCTAAGATTTTGTTGGATGTTCTGGTGATTCAGCGGGAGATACTGTGCATTCTATGCATGCATTCTATAGCTGAGCTGAGTTCATATACAAGTGAGAGATCCCGTTGACATGAACAGAATCAGCCTACATAGTTTCCTCTTAATTCCAAAGGCCTTCAGGTTATAACAGGTAAACTATGTTGCTGCAAAGGGGAACAGTGCCCAGGAGACCAGAGGTCTAGCTTGCACATCTTCCCAGCTGGTCTAAAGTGAACCCCAGGTTCACTGTAGTTGAGCTCAGGGAGGTATTCCACTAACCTAGAGACCACACAGGTAGGGGCTTCTGGCACTCTCCACCACCACAGGGCAGACCATACTTAACTACAGGATGCCAGAGCACCTGGCAGATGAGGTGGTCTCCAGCACAAACCAAAGAGTAGAGGATTCTATGAAAAAAGGCATCATCCACACTGCCTATTCTTTACCTATAGGGAAGTTTTACTTGAAATTGTGACCTGTGTCTGCCATTACCTTGGGTGTAATGAGTTTTTAAAAAAATTATTTAGATACAAGTATTTGATTTACCTAAATGATCTGTGTCTGGCTTGTTTGAGTCAGTATTCAGTACTACCCTTTACCACTAAAATAGTTACACAGTTCTCTATTCCACTAAATAAACCAGGGTAACAGGCAATGCTTTCAAAACCTGGTTTTAGCCAGGTGCTAATGGTCCACATCTGTAATCCTAGATACTCGAGAGGCTAAGATCTGAGGATCATGGTTCAAAACCAGCCTGGTCCAAAAGACTCTTATTTCCAATTCACCACCATAAAACCAGAAGTGGAAGAGTAGTTCGAAGTGAAAGAGCACAGGAATAGTGCCCAGACCCTGAGTTCAAGTCCCACGACAGACAAAATAAAACCTGGTTTAAAATCTCAGAGGCATCAGCAAGTTCTCTCAGGCATGCACATTTGATCCCGTCCTCTACCATCCGGAGCTGCCTAGGCACAGTAAGGCACCAAGCACCCAGCTCTAAAAGCACATCCACCCCTGCAAAGGACCATAGCAAGCCTCGCTGCACCCACGCTTACTTACCTCTGGTAAGATGAACTGCTCCACAGGTTTATACCACAGCTTGTTCACCTGAACTCCACAGCTCGGAGGACTAAAGCGAGCAACAAAGAGCGCCTCCTGAACAAGGAGACAGCCCACATTATACAGGGGGGCATACAACTGAGTCAGGAAAACCCAGAATGGACTCCACTAACACTGCTCTACTGTGGTTTCTGTAACTTTCAGGATCTCTAATGCAATCATGGTTTTTAAATTATTAAAACTTCCATAAAGTTCTCAAATACTGAACATAAATCACATAATCTGAAAATCTAAAAAAGAAAACCTAGACATGGCAAGTGCTAAGGGAAGTGAGAGCATTAAATTAATACAATGTAGGGTTGATACCTCCAAAGGGGTAGAAATAAACCAAAAGATCACAGATCTCTACAGCAAAGCACTCATGACCCCCCCTTAACAAGAACTCTCAGAAGAAAATACATAAGAAACAAAGCAGGGAATAATAACCATTGGAGCCCATGTATCCAATCCAGCCTTTTGCTGGTTAACTAACAATGGAGTCTCACTGACTTTTTCTGCTCAGGCTAGCTTCAACCAAATAGTCCAGGTTTTAGCCTCATGATTAGCTAATATTACAGGCATGAACCTCTGGTGCAGGGTAATCTAAATTGTTCTAGAATTGTATTCCCCCACCCCCTTTTTATAGAGAAGACCTGAAACAGCTGCTGGCCTTACATAACAGCTTTTTAGAGCTAGAAAAGACCAATCACCTTAACAGTCCCAAAGCATTAACCTTGATATGTAGCCTAGCTGGCCTTGAACTCACTACCTCCTGGCCTCAGGTTTCCCAAGCAGCTGTGATCACAGGTTTGTGCTACCGCACCTGGCTCCATAACCAACTTTTGAAATTTCTGAGGCTTAAGGAAATTTTACGTTGGAAATTTCTAACCTAGTCTAACTTTCCTCTTTGATTTATGTATGTATGTGTGTATATATATATATATATATATGTGTGTGTGTGTGTGTGTGTGAGTGTGTGTATATATTCATAGGAGTTTTTCCCCAATCAGTCATTAGAATAAATTTTTCTCCATTACATTCAATCAGTAAGGGAAGAAAGAGTCTGCCAACCAGAGACAATTCTATAATCTGCCACTTGGTTATACATCACAAAATAAAGTTATGGCAGACTGGGAAGGTGGCTTAGTGGTAAAGTGCTTGATTAGCATGCATGAAGCCCTGGGTTCAATTCCTCAGTACCACATACACAGAAAAGGCCAGAAGTGGTGCTGTGGCTCAAGTGATAGAGTGCTAGCCTTGAGCAAAAGAAGTTCAGGGACAGTGCCCAGGCCTTGAGTTCAAGCCCCAGGACTGGAAGAGAAAAAAAAAAAAGATTATGTTTCTTAAAAGGAAAATAAGCCATGCACAAAGCAATGAGTGCCTACCTCCTGCTCTGCCTGATAGAGCTTGACTGTGACGTTCCTCTGAAAGCCCACATCGCTTGCATCATAGAACACGCCAAGACTGGTGATCACAATGGGGTAGAGAACGCGGAAGCTCACGCTGACAACTCGGTCCTCAGACAGCCCCAATGAGGCATCTTCAGAAAGGCCAAATGCCTCAATTTCCTGATTTAAAACTTAAGGGTGTTTTAAGAATGGGTTTCACTATGGAACAAATACTATCTTGTACTTCACTAATGTAGGCTAGTAAAGTGAACACAAGGCATAAACCATAAGTGCACAGCCCAATCTTTTAATCCTAAGGAACAAAAACTAATTTTTTACTTTTTGCTTTTGCAGAAGCTTGGGCGATGATTTTTTTGTTTTTGACAAGGAGTCTGGCAGTGCAGCCCAAACGTTTTCTAACAGGCTTGGAACTACAAAACTTAAGTTTTACGGGGTGGCAGTCTTCAGAAGAGGACGGCCTACCTGGGTGTGTGATGTTGAGCAGTCGGCAGGAGTAGGGGTCCTCCCTGTCTTCCACAGGCACCTCACAGCCACGAGCACCAATTATGAACTTCACAAGCACACTGAGAGAGGGCAGGTGTTAGCACCTGTTACTGATCTGTACCTGTGCTCACTTCAGAGCTTTACCCTGAGACCCAAAGACCCATGAGCATAAGTCTCTGCCTGTGTTCTTCCAGTCTCTGTTCTTCCAAGGAGGAGAAACACACGGCCCCCAAACTGACTAGTGTGTGCCGCTCATACAATTCTGCATTAAAACAAGTACAGATGCACAGGTGGCTCCTACCAAATGCTCAGGCCATCTAGAAGCAGACCAGAGTCAAGTCAATTCTCAAACTTTACATGCAGCATTGAGAAGGTATGCTGGTAGATGGGGGAAAGCAAGAGCAGCCAGTACAGCACCAGGGTTTCTGGTCTGGGTGGCTGGCTTGCTCATTTTCTGAGATTGGAATGCGTTCAGAGGTGCCAGTTCTGGCAGCACTGGTGGTTCTGAGGCCTTCACTTGCTGAGGAACAGCTCTGTTACCAACACAATCATGCACTGAGGAAGCCTGTCTGTAACAGGGATGAAAGGTGGGGGGAGCAAAACAGGACATCTATATATACTTGTCACTTCCAGTGACAAGAAATTCACAACTTTGACCCACCACTGCTGCTCCCCTATAAAGCGCTGCTTAAACATCCTGGGCAGCTGCTGTGCCCATCACACCAACATCGGAGGTAACAGCAAGTCCTGCTCCCCAGCTTCTCCCTCGCCAGCCCCACTCCAGCCTCAGAGGCTGATCGCCACTCTGAGCACACACACAGGCCGTGGGCTCCTGAGCAACAGCAGAGACGCCCAGCAATTCTAGAGGGGCCAGGAAAGACTGGCCAGGTGCACCATGGTAGCTCCACACAACCCAAAATGCCACAAAACCAAAACAGTGAACCTCATCTCTAGAAAGCTGGTGAAAAGTATTCTGGATTGGAAACTTTCTACTATGGTATGTCAAAGCAAAAACAAACCACTTCATCACTGTGTGTCTAAAATACAGCAAAAGGACACAGCATTTTCTCGCAGGAGCAGCAATCACATATATCTAAATTAACAACTGGTCTTCAAAATAAGAATTTTGTTTCTGAATTCTCAATGCAGGCAAGGGAAATAATTCAGAAAACTTACCGTTGACTCAACACTGGATGTTGTATCAAATGCTTCAACCAGGTGTTTCTTATCACATTTCGAAGTTCGTGGTTATGGCGAGCTGACAACACACCAACTATCACCTCATAGTGACTGGATTTCCACTGAGGAACTAAGGCCAACTGATCTACAAATAAGAAACAGAAGTCATGTCTCAATATGTAACAACATGTATTACAAATATGTCTACATTTGTAGAAAATGCAGATGAAATACAGGTCAAAGATATACTTTAAAAACAAAAACAACAAAAACCTTTCCTACTTATGTCTGTAATCCTAGCTACGCAGGAGGCTGAGATCTGAGGATCAGAGTTCAAAGCCAGCCCAGTCAGGAAAGTTTGTGAGACTCATCTCCAATTAACCACCAAAAAGCCAGAAATGAAGCTGTGGCACATGTGGCACGGCATTAGACTTGAGCATAAAAGTTCAAGGACAACGTCCAGGCCCTGAGTTAAGCCCCATGTGTGGCACAACATAATAATTAAGAAAATAGGGCTGGGAAGGTGGCTCAGTGGTAGAGCACTTGCCTTGCATGCTCCAGGCCCTGGGTTCGATTCCTCAGCACCACATAAGCAAAAAAGAAAAACCAGAAGTGGTACTGTGGCTCAGGTGGTAGAGTGCTAGCGTTGAGCTGAAGGACAGCACCCAGGCCCAGAGTTCAGGCCCCACAACTGGACCAAAAAAAAAAAAAAAAAATTAAGAAAATAAAATGCTTTATCTGGGCCAAAACTATTGGCTCGTGCTCATACTAGTTAACTCAAAAGGCTGAGATTTAAGAGTCTTTGTTCAGAGCCAGCCTGAGTAGAAAAATCTGAGTCTTATAACCACCAAAAAGCTGAAAGTGGGGCATGGCTCAAGTGGTGAAATGCCAGCCTCAAATAAAAAGCTGATAGTAAACCAGCTAAAGAGAACCTGAGAAAACCAGCCTAAGAAAATCCCTGATACTACCAAAAACGAAAACAAAAACCTCAGACAACAAAAATAAAGACACCAAAACAAAAAATGTTTTAAGCCAGGCATGGTGGTTCATACTTGTAATGCTAGCTACTTGGAAAGTGGAGACTGGGAAAACCAAGATTCAAAGATGGTCTGGACAAAAAAAGCTAGTGAGACCCCCATCACAATGAAATAAAAGCTGAGCACAGTCTGTTATACCTGCCATCCCAAGGATAAAATAGCATAAACAGCCTAGGGCAGCGAGGCAAGAAAGATAAGACACAACTGAAAAATAACTACAGGAAAAAAAAAGTGCTTTGCAAAGCCAAACCAACATCAATCTAGTAAAATTGGAGAGATGAATCTGAAGGGCTTCCACTGCTGAAATCAGTGAGTCCTTATTTTTGTCAGACAATAAGACTTTTATTTCATACTAAATATTCTGGAGAATGAAAAGGAAGCAACATTTTTAGTTTTTAAAAAAATCACTGAGCATGCCATGGAAATAGCTTTTTTTTAACTGTTGGAATGTCTAATGGGCAGGATTATATTTTCATGCCTAAAACTTGCCCTTGGAAAGGAGAGAAGGTATCCTTCCCTCACTTTTCAGCACTAGTTTTAAAGTCAAGCTTTACATTTACATGTGGCTCTGATGAGAGGCGTCTCCGTCTCATCTTTCTCTAATGGTGGGAAATGATTCAAAATGTTTTCAAGAATTATTATTTTGGGGGGGGCGGAGGGTCCAGTTGTGGGGCCTGAACTCTGGGCCTGGGCACTGTCCCTCAGCTCTTCAACTCAAGGCTAGCGCTCTACCATGTGAGCCACAGCGCCACTTCCGGCTTTTTTTCTTTTTGCTTATGTGGTGCTGGGGAATTGAACCCAGGGCCTCATGCATGAAAGGCAAGCACTCTACCACTGAGCCACCTTCCCAGCCCCATTTTCAAGAATTATTGAGGCATCTTTACTACATTAAGTGTAACATTCTTAGATGTAATAGGATATAGATATTTAGTCTAAAATATAACAAGAACATGTTGATAACTTTCAAAAGCACAATTAAAACAAAAACCAGGGGGCAGATCCTATCAGGACCACTTTAAAGAAATTACAGTAAAACAATTATAGCATAGCAGGAATTTTTGTATGAAAACTTTACCTTCCATAATAACATACACAAACAACAGATAACAGACATGTTTGCAGCTATAAACTCATTGTGGGTTAGTGGCATTTAGATTCTGATCTTTGGGAATCAGTGATAAGCAGATTAGTGAAGATGCTGGTTCATACATTAATTTTCCTAATTCATGGCCCAGAAACACATTTTCTCAGATTTATGACAGTACAATTAAAGCTATGCCTACTGCCAACACTAGGTGTAAATGCGGCTCAGCTGGAATAGCTTTGAAATGCTTTTGTAAAACAGACAACTATCGGTCCCTTCTACAGAAAAACTTCAACAACTGTCCAGTCACAGGAGGGTGCCCCAGTTCTGGTTCAGCTCTCATGGATGACTCACATGCTGTACCACCTTAGAAGGGGGTCACTTAAATAAATCCTGTGTGCCTCAGTTTCTTAAACAGAAAACTGATAGAAAAAGGCTTTAGATGCTCTATTCATCTATTTCAGAATGTTTTCTCAGAAAACCAGAAGCTGTGAAAGGGCAAAAACCACATTTAATCCACATGCCTCATTTACCTGAAGCCATCAACACAAGGCTGCCACACAAAACCATTTTCAAGAATGTTCCCCTGAGCGCTGAATAGTTAGCAACTTACTTCTGATGTTAGTCAAAGCAAATTTTTTAGAACAGAGTACATGGAACCTAATTTAACCTTTTCTTGATGACTCAAATCTCCAGAGAAATTCCCCAAACTACCCTTTTCTCAGCATGAATTCCAGCTGCTGCTTTACTTCAAATACCTGACAGTACAAGAACACTTCAACTGTTTCTAACTCTTCCATGCTACTGCTGAACACGATTTTTCTAAAAATTGATAATTACATAAAGACAGTCACACACACATGAAAATCCTGAGGCTTATGCTTGTACACTGGGGGTTGATCTCAGGGCCACACATTTGCTAGGCAGGTACTGTGATGTCCTGCTTTTTTATCTTGTTTGACTCCCCTGCTCCTAATCCTGTGTAAGCCATTACTGCTCATCTGCTTTACTTGCAGCTGCTCCTCTTTCCAGCAAGGATTTCATGGCAGATTTTGGCCTTACAGAGTACTTCTACTTCCAGATGTTCTGAAATCACACTTGGAAAAGCAGGTTTCTCCTACCAGGTATCCTCAACATAAGCCAGTCCGACCAATCGCCCAGAATGTCTTACACAGTATAAAGTCCCATGTGGGTGCTTATAAGACTACTGCTCAAAAAAAAAAAAAGACTACTGCTCAAGTTTCCAGCTCCTCTTACCAGCTAAGATCTCTGCTGTATGATCCAAACACAGGGTACTTTGATTGTGGGCCTAGAAACAGAGAAAGGAAGCAAACAAAACAAACCTAAAGAACAAACACCAGACAAAAGGATTCAAATGTAACTCACAAAAGGTAGTCAACAACTTATGAAAATATCTTTTTCACTAGAAATCAAGCTTGAACATGCCAGTTTTGCCCTACATTTAAACTGGCAAATGTCTTAAGTGTTAGGAACCAAATGTTAGTTACCTTAGGGAAACACTGCCAGTGATTCTGAGGAAAGGGAACCCTCCCCTTCCCTGCTGCTACAAGTGAATTTGTGCAGTCCTCCATAGGGCACACTGGTCATATAATATACATCAAACACCTTAGCATGGTAGAAGTTAAGTCCAGCAATTCTTTTTTTTTTTTTTTTTTGGGTCCGGTTGGGGGGCCTGAACTCCGGGCCTGGGCGCTGTCCCTCAGCTCTTCAGCTCAAGGCTAGCGCTCTACCACTTGAGCCACAGCACCACTTCCGGCTTTTTTCTTTTTGCTTATGTGGTGCTGAGGAATCGAACCCAGGGCCTCAGGCATGCAAGGCAAGCGCTCTACCACTGAACTACCTTCCCAGCAAGTCCAGCAATTCTATGTCAAAGAATTTGCTCCAAAGCGGTAATCACTGATACACTCTGAGAGCTCAGTTCAACACACTGAAAAAACATATGCTTCAGAAATGCACAGAGAAATGACTGGTTTTAGCTAGTCCCTTAAATGAAGGTGTGTCTGTGATAGTGTTCGGCAAAAATGAAAATTATATTGTCAACATATCCTTAAGTATTATTCTACATTGTATTAAGGTAAGCAGGTTATAAGGACATCCTGCAGGGATCTATAACTCAGGAGAACAAAAAGGAGCTTCCCCAGGCCCAAAGAAACGTAGGTCCCATGGTTTCCCTTATTTGTAATATCTAGTATATGTATGAGTCAAGCGGAAAAGGTCAGATAATGTGATGTCAGGAAAATCAACCCTTAGATGTGTATTTTAATGTTTTTTTCTTTCATGCATGTGTTTCTAACACATTTATAAGATTATCTCTTTGTTGCTTTGTATGTCCCTCCCCCACAGTATAACCCTTGCTTTCACTATATTTGATGTCAGTATAACTTGTGGAGGAGATGGGGAAAAACCAGTTGTTTAAGGATACAGGTGGACCTGTTGCAACAATGAGAAGTACAAGTTGTCATGTCCAAAATGAACTTTACAACGTTGGTGCGGGGGGGGGGGGGGGGGGGGGGGGGGGAGGGGGGGGACTGGGGGGGGGAGGAAGGAGAAGGATTGGGATTAGTGGGGGAGGGGGGAGGCTGGGAAGGGATGTGAAGGGTAAACAAAGGAGGAGGCTGCAATGCTTGGTAAGAAATGTACACATTATCCTGCCCATGTAACTGTAACTCCTCTGTACAGTATGTTCACAAATAAAATTAAATTAAATTAAAAAAAAAAAAAAAAAAAAAAGGAGCTTCCTCTGGAATGCTAGTACTTTCTTAAACTTTTAGTGCTGCCAGCTGTGGGTGTTCAGCTTGTGAAAATGCAAAGTGCATAGGTACATGAAAAGAATGTGAATGATACTTCAGTAACAGTTTCAAAAGGTTAAAGCATTTTTCTAAAACATTCTATATATACACTTAACAAAACAGTCTGAAAGCACAGTGAATTATTCTTTTTAAAAAATTCAAATTTTCTACACAGATCTTGTTTCACCTCTCAAAGAAAAAAAATTTAGATCCTGGTGTCATCAAAGCACAAAGGTAGATGATTTTGGGGAAAGCTCACTCACACTCTTCCTGTTTCCAAGCATCTCCTTACTTGAGCTGGACAGCACAGGCACAGCTGCTAGTAAGAACTTCAGTGTCAGGAATAACTCAACCCCATGCAAACATCCTGAGAGGAACAACTATGTCCTTCAATGAGACACAGATGCTAAGAGTACATTAAGGTCTATGGGAACTGGGTGTCAGTGGCTCATGCCTGTAATTAACTACTCAGGAGGATGAGATCTGAGGATCATGGTTCAAAGCCAGCCCAGGCAGCAAGGCCTGTGAGACTCAAAATCTCTAACCACTAAAAAGCTTGAAGTGGAGCTATGGCTCAGCTGGTAGCAAAAATGCTTAGGTACAGTTAAAGCACCAGGACTGGCACCAAAAAGAAAAAAAGCCTAAGGGATGTTGACTTCAAAGCTGATCATTAAAATAAGCCCAAGAAGTCTTCAAACTTCACTCCCACGTGCTCTTGGATGGCCTCAATCACAACAGCAGAGACTCTGAGGTAAACACAGAAGCCCACCATGGATCCACTGATGAGGACAGTACACAATCATAGTGATACTGCCAACTACCACACTGGCACAGGCATCAGCGGCTGCCACACCATTACTTCTCTCTACAATTTCTAGAGGATTTTGTATGAACCAGGCACTGTTCTGGGTGTTTTATTACCCGTATCTTCACAATAACCATACAAAAAGATAATCTTGTAAACTGGGAAAATAAAGTACAAGACACCAGCATACAGAATCTAGGGGTCATCTTGGAAGAATCAGTATCAGGAAAAATTGCAATGCAAGCTCAGTTTGTCTGTGTATCACCAAGTGCTCTAAGAACTGCTGAGTGGAAATGGTTCTACTTGTAAACTTTGGCTTCCTTTTCAAACACTCTACACAGAGAAGCCTTTTTTGCATACATCACTTTTCTATATTGTAAAATAACTCCTGGTGGGCCAGGCACTGGTGGCTCATGCCTGTAAATCCTAGCTTCTCAGGAGGCTAAGATCTGAGGATGCTGGTTCAACGCCAGCCCAGGCAGGAAAATCCATGAGACACTTATCTCCAATGAACCACCAGAAAACCGTAAGTGGTGCTGTGGCTCAAGTGGTAGAGTGCTCACCTTGAGCTGAAGACCTGAGGGACAGCGCCCAGACCCAGAATTCAAGCCTGACAACCAACAAAATAACAACTACTCTTGGTAAGGCATTACCCCAAACCAGTACACTGTGCTCTATCTACAAGGGCTGTTCCTCCATTCTCTACTCTTATCCCCAAGATGGTCTGGATCTCACAAGCTCTTTCTCCTTACTGGCTGCTTTCTCCACTGGTTTCAGCTGTTTAAGGCATGCCCCTAAATTGGTAAGGTTACTAATCCTGGTACTAACATGACTCAGTCATTCCTCTGATCCCTGCTTAAAGGAGAAACCTACCACTCTCCTTGACAAGTGGCTTTATATTTCTTTGCCATATTCCAAAAACCATCTTCTTTTCTAAATGGTAAATGCATGTGCATCCACTTTATCTTATTACTACTTTAATCCACACATGCAAGAGGAGCAGAACCAGAGAAGGCTCACAGATGTTTGCTGAATCCACTGCCAGTCTGTAGATCTCTTTAATATTCAGGGAAGGTAAACCTCTCTCAAAAAACAGCCTTGATTTAGAGGGACTGAAAAGGGACAGAGGGAGGCGGAGTAAAGGTGAATCTTAGAAATATTAATTCAAGTCAAAGCAGACACTCTGAAAACATTACAGGATGGAATAGGAGAAACCCTAGGTCTCCTTGGCTCAGGCCGAAATTTTCTGAATAGAGACCCGGAAACACAACAAATCAAAGAAAGGTTGGACAAATGGGATTGCATGAAGTTGCAGAGCTTCTGCATGGCAAAGGACATAGCTAGCAAGATCAATAGAAAGCCCACGGATTGGGAGAAAATCTTCACTAGCCATACAACAGACAAGGGTCTCATATCTAAAATATACTTGGAACTCAAAAAATTAAATCCCCCAACAACAAATCCTCAAAGAAACAACTGTCCAATAAATAAGTGGGCTAAAGACTTAAAGAGAAACTTCTCTGAAGAGGAAAGAAGGATGGCCAATAGACACATGAAGAAATGCTCAACATCCCTAGCCATAAAAGAAATGCAAATCAAAACAACATTGAGATACCACCTCACCCCAGTTAGAATGGCAAAAATCAACAACTCTAACAACAACAGATGCTGGAGGGGATGTGGACAGAAGGGAACCTTACTTCATTGTTGGTGGGAATGTAAACTTGTTCAACCACTTTGGAAAGCAGTATGGAGGTTCCTCAAAAGACTTCACATAGAGCTCCCCTATGACCCAGCAATCCCACTTTTGGACATTTACCCAAATGTATACAAACAAGACCACACTAAAGCTACCAGCACACCTATGTTTATTGCAGCATTATTTACCATAGCTAAGATATGGAACCAGCCCAGATGCCCCTCAGTAGATGAATGGATCAAGAAAATGTGGTACATATACACAATGGAATTCTATGCCTCCATCAGAAAGAATGACATTGCTCCATTTGTTAGGAAATGGAAAAACTTGGAAAAAATTATATTAAGTAAGCCAGGCCCAAAGAAACATAGGTCCCATGGTTTCCCTTATTTGCAATATCTAGTATATGTATGAGTCACGTGGAAAAGGTCAGATAATGTGATGTTAGGAAAATGAATCCTTAGATATGTATTTTAATGTTTTTTTCCTTTCATGCATTTGTTTCTAACGCATTTATAAGATTATCTCTTTGTAGTTTTGTATGTCCCTCCCCCACAGTATAACCCGTGCTTTTACTATATTTGATGTCAGTATAACTTGTAGAGGAGATGGGGAAAAACAAGTCGTTTAAGGATACAGGTGGACCTGTTGCAACAATGAGAAGTGCAAATTGTCATATCGAAAACGAGTGTTACAATGTTGGGGGGGGGGGCGGGGAAGATTGGGTGGGGGGGAGGCCGGGAAGGGATGTGAAGGGTAAACAAAGGAGGAGGTTACAATGCTTGATAAGAAATGTACGCATTAACCTGCCCATGTAATTGTAACCCCTCTGTACAGTGTGTTCACAAAAAATAAAATAATAAAAAAAAAGAAATATTAATTCAAGGGCTGGGAAGGTGGCTCAGTTGGTAGAGCGCTTGCTTGCCTTGCATGCATGAGGCCCTGGGTTCGATTCCTCAGCACCACATAAGCAAAAAGATAAATGCCGGAAGTGGCGCTGTGGCTCAAGTGGTAGAGCGCTAGCCTTGAGCTGAAGAGCTGAGGGACAGCGCCCAGGCCCCAGAGTTCAGGTCCCACAACCGGAACCCTCCCCCCCCCAAAAAATGTTAATTCAAGCAAAGAAGTTTGCAAAATCTTGGATTTTTCTCTCTCCAGCTTAGACACAGAGGATCAAAGTGTAAGTGTTCAAATGCTTTGAACATGACGACAGCCCTCTGGAAATTTCTGCAATCACAATGCTTGTTTTTAGTTGTAAAAAGTGACAAAAAGAGGGGAAGGGATGTTCGGAGTGTTTGATTTAAGCAACCTATTATCTGAACAGCTACTCAGTATTCAAGATCAAAGTGAACTTCCAAAACTAACAGTGATCTTCTCACCCATATACCCTTCTGCAATCTTCTCGTCTCCTTTAATCTAGCCAGGTCCACATACTAAAAGGGAACAGGGAAAAAAACTGTCTAACTTGTAAAACTGCCTAGCAGCCTAAGTTCAACTTAGGCTGGAGGCCGCGCTTTTTTGTTTCGTTTTGTCCTCTGCCCCAAGACCGTTCATACTGAGGTCATAACTCTTCCTGAAGTTTGCTCCGCAAGTAGATTCCAGCAGGATTACTCACACACAAAGAACAGGCGCCGTCAAGCTCGACGCTGGCGGACGGGACCAAGCACGTTCTATGTGTGCGCACCGTTTTCTCATCGAGTTTATAAAATCCGGAGAATGCCCACCGACAGGCAAAAGGCCACGGTCTGAGCACCGTCCTTGGTCTCGTGTGCGCACCGTTTTCTCATCGAGTTTATAAAATCCGGAGAATGCCCACCGACAGGCGAAAAGCCACGGCCGGAGCACGGTCCTTGGTCTGCCCGGTCACCGCTACCCCGACGTGTTCACAAAACCAAGTCCGAGCCCAGTTTTGGAAACGTAGGGGAGCCGAGCGGGGTCACCCCATCCTGAGGTTCCCTGGTCCCCGGGCCGGCCCCGCTGGGGACCGGACGGCCGGCGGTTCCCGGCCAGCAGCGGCTTCGGGACGGCGGGTCGGGAGGCGAGGGCCGCGCCGCGGGACGGCACAACAAAGGCCAGGAGCCACGCGGCCAAGTGTCCGCGCGGAGCGACCCGGGGTTCCGGCTCGGCGAGCGGCTACCCGACGCCTCCCACCCCCCCCCCCGGGGACGCTGACCTGACCCGCCCAGCCTCGCACCCGGCCCGGGCGGGCGGGCGCCGCGAGACCCCAGGCGACCCGGCCACACGCGGAGGAGAAGCGAGCCCCTTCGCCCGCCCGCGCCCGAGCTCCTGCCTGGAAGGCTCCGGGGCTCCCCCGCGACCCCGCGGCCTCCCCGCCGCCCCACGCCACGGGCCTCACCTGCTGGGCCGGCCCTGGAGGCACGGGCGGGCGGCGGGGAGCGCAGCCGCAGCCAGAGGTGCAGCGCGGCCCCGAGCACGCACGGGCACAGAAGCACCAGCCAGTTTCGCATTGGCCGTCCCCGCCGGCTCCCCCTCGCGCCCCCGCTGCTCTCCGGGCTGCGCTGCGTCCCCGCCCAGAGCGAGGGGGCTGCGGGCGCCGAGCCCGGCCCCGCGGCGCCGCCGCCGCCCGCGCGACCACGCAGCCGCGCTGGTGGCCAGAGCCGTCCGCGGATCCGGCCGGCGCCTCAGCTGCCTCAGCTCCCTCAGCTCGCGAACGCTGGCGACAGAGGCTCTGCGGCCCTGAGGCCGAGGCCGAGGCCGAGACCCCGCCCACCCGAAGGCCCGCCCACCCGGCGCTCCTCCCCGTCCAGCCTCTCAGCTCCAGGCCCTGCCTAGGTCTTCGGCCGGCCGGGAGCTGGAGTCCCGCGTTGAGCCCAGCCAGGGGGCGCACCCAGGAAACGTATTGCCGAAAACCACATCTCCCATGGTGCCTCGCGCTTAGAGTCACGCGGCGGCCGCTTGGGCGAAGCGCGAGGCACGCAAAACGCATGCGTCCCTGCTTCCAGTGGGGGGTGTAGCAGGAGCTCCACACAAGGAGCATGCACATTTCTTCTCGCGCCACTGCCCCCTCTAACGATGGAGTCAGGTACTGCGCACATAGAGCATGCGCACTCCTCGTGCCACTGACCCTAGCGGTCTAAGCAGTACTGCGCACACAGAACAGGCGCCTTTCCCCGTGCCCGCGCATGGCCGGGGCTCCGCCTGGCATCCTCGTGGGTTCTCCGCTAGCTTCCATCCTCTAAGAACGCTGGACGAGGAGGGAGCCCCGCCATCCACGGAGAGCCCGGCGTAGCCCTTGCGATCCTCCCGTGCCGAGCGGGACGAGGCTCAGTCCCGCGGGAAGCAGCTCAGGCCAGTCCCAGGCCCTGGCCTCCGGTCCCGACCCCAAACCCTCTAGGAAGGGCGGGATGAGCACTGGCCCCGAGATAGTTCAAAATAGTCCCCCAACGTATGCAGACACAAGGCACATAGCCGTATATCTGAAAGGTCTGAACTTGTGATGCCTGTAGCCCCGCAGAGGACCTCCGGAAACCCCCCAGAGGACCACCGGAAACCGCCCAAAGGACCACTGGAAACCCCCTAGAGGACCACCCAGAGGACCATCGGAAACCCCCAGAGGACCACCAGACAAAACCACCCCAGCGGGCCACCGGACAACCCTCCCTCCTCCCACAGTGGACCACATGGACCCAGCCCTCCCCCTCCCGGTGGACCACATGGGCATGACCCCCTCCTGCAGTGGACCACATGGGCATGACCCTCACCTCCCCCCCAGTGGACCATTTGAGCAAATTAACCACAAGCCAGAAGTGGACCTGAGGCTGTGGCTGAAGTGGTACAACACCAGCCTTGAGTGAAAAAGCTGAGGAACAGCACCCAGGCTTTGAGTTTAAGCCCCAAGACTGGCTCGAAAAAGAAGAGAAAGGAAAAATAGGTAAAATCGCACTTGTTGACAGTTGACACAGTTGACACTGCTTCCCAGTGTCCATGAAAAAAATTACAGAAACTTAAGATCTGCCATGACAGAATTTCAAGTGGTCTCAGGAAAAAGTCTCAAAAGGTGAAAGTTTTAACAGGATTTCTTTTTTTTTTGGGGGGGGGGGAGGGGGGTCCGGTCATGGGGCCTGAACTCTGGGCTTGGGCGCTTTTCAGCTCCAGGCTAGAGCTCTACCACTTGAGCCACAGCGCCACTTCCGGCTTTTTTCTTTTTGCTTATGTAGTGCTGAGGAATGGAACTCAGGGTCTCATGCATGCAAGGCAAGCGCTCTACCATTGAGCCACCTTCCCAGTCCTTAACAGGATTTCTTTTGCCATAACAGGATTAAAGAAGACAGAAATGGAAAAATCAGGAGAGAAAGGTACCCCCTGCTTAAAGTAATAGAAAAATGACAGCCATTTTCATGGGTTTTCCCTTGTCTGAACTGGGAAAGTGTACGAGGCCATGCTACCTAGACACACCTAAAAATTAGACACAGTGGTTCTAAGTGGCAAAGTTTTTTATTCTAAAACATGGAGATGGGATCTTGGCCTTCCTATACATGGGACTTTGCTTTGCAAGATACATTGTCCAGTTCTCTGTCTCTACCCATGCAGGGAGCACGCAGGTTGCTTGCTTGCTTGCTGGATGCCTGGTTTGCTTGCTTGCTTGCTTGATTTGCTGTTGGTACTGGTACTGGGGCTTGAACTCAGGGCCTCTCATTCTTGCTTGGCTTTTCTGACCAAGGCTGGCACTCTACCGCTTGTGTCACAGCTCCACTTCTGGTTTTTGCTGGCTCATTGGAGAACAGTCTCATAGACTCTTCTGTCTGGACTGGCTTTGAAACCACAATCCCCCTGAGTAGCTAGGAAAACGGATGTAAGCCAGCAGTGCCCTGCTTATATTAAAATCTCCTCCCTCCCAGTAGTACTAGAGCTTGTACTTGGGGCCTGGACTCTGTCCCTCAGGTTTTTCGTTCTTTTTTGGGGGGGAGGGGTCCGGTTGTGGGGCCTCAACTCTGGGCCTGGGTGCTGTCCCTCAGCTCTTCATCTCAAGGCCAGCACTCTACCACTTGAGCCACAGCACCACTTCCGGCTTTTTTCTTTTTTGCTTATGTGGTGCTGAGGAATCGAACCCAGGCCTCATGCATGCAAGGCAAGTGCTCTACCACTGAGCCACCTTCCCAGCCCCTCCCTCAGGTTTTTCACTCAAGGCTAGTGCTCTACTACTTAAGCCATATATCCATTTCCAGTTTTGTGCTGCTTAATTATAGTCTCACAGACTTTCAAGCCTGGACTGGTTTCAAATTGGGATCCTCAGATCTCAGCTTCCTAAGTAACTAAGATTACAAAAGGTGTGAGCCACCAGAACCCAGCTTATATTCAAATCTTTAAGCCAAATTTTTAATAACATTCCCACACACACAAGAAAGAAAGCATGAAATGTGCTTTACTGTCTTGGTCCTGGAGTTAGGGAAGGGAAAGAATGGGCCTGCTGTAGCATGCTCCCAAGTTGGAAAGCCTTGCCCGACTCAGGAATACTAAATGCTGTGCCATTTAATTTATTAATCAAATTGGAATTTTGAGAGAAAAGAGGAGCTGAAGAAAAACTAAAGTAGACAGACAAGTTTTCTATGTAAATCATTCCTATTTACACTTAGCTGGCTATTTTTTTTCCAACAGTAGATGGCAGTAAAATGCTTGCCTATTTTTTTTCTTATTTAATTTGTTGGAAGAAATTGGATGACAACTAAGATTGGCAAAGGTTAGTTAATGATAACCATGGTAGTAAGCTTGAAGTAAGAGAGCGCAACTTGGATTACACTCTGGAAAAAATTAACATTGTACATTTTTTATGCTGGTCCTGAGGCTTGAACTCTGGCCTGGGTGCTGTCCCTCAGCTCTTCAGCTCAAGGTAAGCACTCTACACTTGAGCCACAGCGCCACTTCGGGTTTTCTGATGCTTAATTTATTAGAGATAAAAGTCTCACAGACTTTCCTGCCGGAGCTGGCTTTGACCGCGATCCTCAGCCTTCTGAGTACCTAGGATTACAGGTGTGAGTCACCAGCCCAGCTCTATTGTACATTTTTCTAGAAAGGAGAATGTTGATCCTCGGGGGAAAAAAAAATATGTTGGTTGTACTATATTTTCCTAGTCATTCTCCCTTTTAAAAATGCAAGTCAGGAGGGTCTAGGAGAGAGGAAAGGGAAGACATTCTACTCATTATCTGACTCATGTAATTGTAACCCCTCTGTATATCACCTTTATAATCACAAAGTATATTTAATATGTTTTTTAAATGCAAATCGGGCTGGACACTGGTAGACAGCACTCAGACCCTAAGTTGAAGCGCGCACGCACGCACACACACACACACACACACACAAAATTCACGCCACAGCCAGTGGCTTGTGTCTATAATCCTAGGTATTAGGAGTCTGAGATCTAATTGTGGTTCAAAGCCAGCCAAGTGAAAAGTCTTAAAGACTCATCTCCAATTAACTAGCAAAACAACAGAAGTAGAGTGTGGCTTTAGTGGCTGAGGGCCAGCTTTGAGCAGAAAAAGCTAAGTAAGAGTGTGAGACCCTGAGTTCAAGCTTTTGTACTGGCATTTAAAAAAAAAATAGATTCTGTACTGGGGGATGTGTCTCAGGTGATAGAGTGCCTGCCTAGCAAGCTGGAAGCCCCATACCCCTCTCTATCTCTCTCCCCCCCCCCCCCACATACACACACACACCCTTACTGTTCCTTCTTCATGTATCACCTGTAACCTAATGCCTCCTTGATGCTTCCTCCCAAGTGTCCTTCATAACTACATATGTCACATTCCTGAGCGATTCGGGGTTATGGCCCCTCCTCTCCTCTGAATTTTTCCTCTTGGTCTTTACCCTTCCTCTACCTCAAGATGTGTTAAGAATTTTGTTTTTAAGAGATAAAAGAAGAGGCAAAGGGGGCTGGGAAGGTGGCTCAGTAGTAGAGTGCTTGCCTCACATGCATGAGGCCCTGGGTTCAGCACCACATAAGCAGAAAAAGCCGGAAGTAGTGCTGTGGCTTAAGTGGTAGAACGTTAGTCTTGAGATGAAGAGCTGAGGGACAGCACCCAGGCCCAGAGTTCAAACCCCACAACTGACAAAAAAAGAAGAAGAAGAAGCACAAACTTCTCCCACACTCTGTCTTTAGGTTATAAATCAACATCATGCTTATGTTTGCCCAAACACATCATTAAATTTACTTCAAAGCTTTGAGGTGAAATTGTGGACAGGAGTCTTGTGCTGAACTGCAAAACAAATTAATTTCAAGTGCTGGCAGAAAGGATGGGACTAGATCTTCAAAATGATGTTACATTAATTCAGAAAGAACGTCAGAGGCATTTCGAGTCAGAGGACAGGGAGATATTTGATGTTAGAAGATAAAGGGCGCTCCTGGACTGCATTAAGCCTGGCATTCCACATCCGCTGGGCTAAATCCTGAGATGCATTTCCTGTCTGTTGTCAGAACCAAATCCCAGTCAGTATATGCCACCGCACAGCTCTTCCATCTGATATCTGCCATGGGGTAGGCATTTCTTACCTCATCAACTGATTCTAATGGTCTTCTGTCAATCCTTCTGAAA